ACTCAAACTCATTGTCGAATCCCATTCAGCAGAATATGGAGGTACTTATGGCGGAACGGGCCAATCTGGTATTTCACAATAAAGTGATAGATGGAACTGCTATTAAACGACTTATTAGCCGATTAATAGATCACTTCGGGATGGCATATACATCACACATCCTAGATCAAGTAAAGACTCTGGGTTTCCAGCAAGCCACTGCTACATCCATTTCATTAGGAATTGATGATCTTTTAACGATACCTTCTAAGGGCTGGCTTGTCCAAGATGCTGAACAACAAAGTTGGATTTTGGAAAAACACCATCATTATGGGAATGTACATGCGGTAGAAAAATTACGCCAATCTATTGAGATATGGTATGCTACAAGTGAATATTTGCGACAAGAAATGAATCCTAATTTTAGGATGACGGACCCCTTCAATCCAGTCCATATGATGTCTTTTTCGGGAGCTAGGGGAAATGCATCTCAAGTACATCAATTAGTGGGTATGAGAGGATTAATGTCGGATCCCCAAGGACAAATGATTGATTTACCTATTCAAAGCAATTTACGCGAAGGACTGTCTTTAACAGAATATATTATTTCTTGCTATGGAGCCCGTAAAGGAGTTGTAGATACTGCTGTACGCACATCAGATGCTGGATATCTTACGCGTCGACTTGTTGAAGTAGTTCAACATATTGTTGTACGTAGAACAGATTGTGGCACTATCCGAGGGATTTCTGTGAGTCCTCGAAATAAAAATCGGATGATGTCAGAAAGAATTTTTATCCAAACATTAATTGGTCGTGTCTTAGCAGACGATATATATATAGGTTTCCGATGTGTCGCCTTTCGAAATCAAGATCTTGGGATTGGACTTGTCAATCGATTAATAACCTTTGGAACACAATCAATATCTATTCGAACTCCCTTTACTTGTCGGAGTACATCTTGGATCTGTCGATTATGTTATGGTCGGAGTCCCACTCATGGTGACCTAGTTGAATTGGGGGAAGCTGTAGGTATTATCGCGGGTCAATCGATCGGCGAACCGGGGACTCAACTAACATTAAGAACTTTTCATACCGGCGGAGTATTTACAGGAGGTACTGCCGAACATGTACGAGCCCCTTATAATGGAAAAATAAAATTCAATGAGGATTTGGTTCATCCTACACGTACACGTCACGGGCATCCTGCCTTTCTATGTTATATAGACTTGTCTGTAATTATTGAGAGCGAAGATATTATACATAGCGTGACTATTCCACCAAAAAGTTTTCTTTTAGTTCAAAATGATCAATATGTGGAATCAGAACAAGTGATTGCTGAGATTCGCGAGGGAACATACACTTTTCATTTTAAAGAGAGGGTTAGAAAATATATTTATTCTGACTCAGAGGGCGAAATGCACTGGAGTACTGATGTGTCCCATGCACCCGAATTTACATATAGTAATGTCCACCTCTTACCAAAAACAAGTCATTTATGGATATTATCAGGAGGTTCATGTGGATCTAGTGTAATTCTTTTTTCGATCCATAAAGATCAAGATCAAATGAATATACCCTTTCTTTCCGCCGAAAGAAAATCTATTTCTAGCCTCTCAGTGAATAATGATCAAGTGAGCCAAAAATTTTTTAGTTCCGATTTTGCTGATCAAAAAAAATTAGGGATTTCCGATTATTCAGAATTGAATGGAAACTTAGGTACTAGTCATTATAATTTCATATATTCTGCTATTTTTCATGAGAACTCGGATTTATTAGCAAAAAGGCGAAGAAATCGATTTCTCATTCCATTCCAATCGATTCAAGAGCAAGAGAAAGAATTCATACCGCATTCAGGTATCTCGGTTGAAATACCCATAAATGGTATTTTCCGTAGAAATAGTATTTTTGCTTTTTTTGATGATCCTAGATACCGAAGAAAGAGTTCCGGAATTCTTAAATATGGGACTCTAAAGGCGGATTCAATCATCCAAAAAGAGGATATGATTGAGTATCGAGGAGTCCAAAAATTTAAGACAAAATACGAAATGAACGTAGATCGCTTTTTTTTCATTCCTGAGGAAGTGCATATTTTACCCGAATCCTCTGCCATAATGGTACAGAACTATAGTATCATTGGAGTCGATACACGACTCACTTTAAATATAAGAAGCCAAGTCGGCGGGTTGATCCGAGTAGAGAGAAAAAAAAAAAGGATTGAACTCAAAATATTTTCGGGGGATATCCATTTTCCGGACAAGACAGATAAAATATCCCGACACAGTGGCATCTTGATACCGCCAGGAAGAGGAAAAAAAAACTCGAAGGAATCCAAAAAATTTAAAAATTGGATTTATGCCCAACGGATCACACCAACCAAGAAAAAGTTTTTTGTTTTGGTGCGGCCCGTAGCCACCTATGAGATAGCGGACAGTATAAATTTGGCAACACTCTTCCCACAAGATCTCTTTCGGGAAAAGGATAATATTCAACTTCGAGTTTTCAACTATATCCTTTATGGAAATGGCAAACCCACTCGAGGAATTTCTGACACAAGTATTCAATTAGTTCGAACTTGTTTAGTCTTGAATTGGGACCAAGACAACAAAAATTCTTCCCTCGAGGAGGTCCGGGCTTTCTTTGTTGAAGTAAGTACAAAGGGTTTGATTCAAGATTTCATAAGAATTGGCTTAGTGAAATCCCATATTTCATATATAAGAAAAAGGAATAATTCGCCAGATTCGGGATTGATCTCTGCAGATCACATGAATCCGTTTTATTCGATTTCGCCCAAGGCTGGCATTCTTCAACAATCACTTAGACAAAATCACGGAACTATTCGTATGTTCTTAAATCGAAATAAGGAATCCCAATCTTTGTTAATTTTATCATCATCTAATTGTTTTAGAATGGGTCCATTTAATCATGTAAAATATCACAATGTGATAAACAAATCAATAAAAAAAAATACTCTAATTACAATTAAAAATTCGTCGGGCCCCTTAGGAACAGCTACCCAAATTTCAAATTTTTATTCGTTTTTGCCTTTACTAACTTATAATAAGATCTCTTTAATTAAATATTTGCAACTTGATAACTTAAAATATATTTTTCAAGTAATTAACTCTTATTTAATCGATGAAAACGGAAAAATTTTTAATCTCGACCCATACAGTAACGTTGTTTTGAATCCATTCAAATTGAATTGGTATTTTCTTCATCAAAATTATCATCATAATTATTGTGAGGAAACGTCCACAATAATTAGTCTTGGACAATTTTTTTGTGAAAATTTATGTATAGCCAAAAAAGAACCGCACCTAAAATCGGGTCAAGTTTTAATTGTTCAAAGGGATTCTGTAGTAATAAGATCTGCGAAGCCCTATTTGGCTACTCCGGGAGCAAAAGTTCATGGGCATTACAGAGAAATTCTTTACGAAGGGGATACATTAGTTACATTTATATATGAAAAATCGAGATCCGGTGATATAACACAAGGTCTTCCAAAAGTAGAACAAGTTTTAGAAGTCCGCTCGATTGATTCAATATCGCTGAACTTAGAAAAGCGGATTAAGGGTTGGAACAAGTGTATAACAAGAATTCTTGGAATTCCTTGGGGATTCTTGATTGGTGCTGAGCTAACTATAGTGCAAAGTCGTATTTCTTTGGTTAATAAGATTCAAAAGGTTTATCGATCCCAGGGGGTGCAGATTCATAATAGGCATATCGAAATTATTGTACGTCAAATAACATCAAAAGTTTTGGTTTCCGAAGAGGGAATGTCTAATGTTTTTTTACCTGGAGAACTTATTGGATTGTTACGAGCAGAACGAACGGGGCGTGCTTTAGAAGAAGCAATCTGTTATCGAGCCGTTTTATTAGGAATAACTCGAGCATCTTTGAATACTCAAAGTTTTATATCCGAAGCAAGTTTTCAAGAAACTGCTCGAGTTTTAGCAAAAGCCGCTCTTCGGGGTCGTATCGATTGGTTGAAAGGCCTGAAAGAAAATGTTGTTTTAGGGGGGGTGATCCCCGCCGGGACCGGATTCAACAAAGGATTGGTGCATTGTTCACGGCAACATACCAACATTCTTTTGGAAAAAAAAACAAAGAATTTAGCTTTATTCGAGGGAGATATGAGAGATATTTTATTCTACCACAGGGAATTTTGTGACTCTTCTATTTCCAAATCTGACTTTTCTAGGATTTAATGATTTCTAATAGCGGACTATTTTTAATTTTATTTTTTATTTTATTGTTTGCTGTAGTCATTTGTTTTGGTAATTTGTTAACACTAATAAAGATAATAATGAATAAAAAAAAAATGGCTTGGTTCATGCATAAATGGCCATCCCTGGTACAAGAGAAGGTTCCATCGGAACAAAAATTTATTTTAGTTTGGGGTGCCCCCCTTTTTAAGTGTGAAAAGAAATGACAAAAAGATATTGGAACATCGATTTGGAAGAGATGATGAGAGCAGGAGTTCATTTTGGACATGGTACGAGGAAATGGAATCCTAGAATGGCACCTTATATTTCTGCAAAGCGTAAAGGTATTCATATTATAAATCTGACTAGAACTGCTCGTTTTTTATCAGAAGCTTGTGATTTAGTTTTTGATGCAGCAAGTAGGGGAAAACAATTCTTAATTGTTGGGACAAAAAATAAAGCAGCCGATTTAGTGTCGCGGGCTGCAATACGGGCTCGGTGTCATTATGTTAATAAAAAATGGCTCGGCGGCATGTTAACAAATTGGTCCACTACAGAAAAAAGACTTCATAAGTTTAGGGACTTGAGAACTGAACAAAAGACAGAGGGATTCAACCGTCTTCCGAAAAGGGATGCAGCTGTGTTGAAGAGACAATTATCTCGCTTGGAAACATATCTAGGCGGGATTAAATATATGACGGGATTGCCTGATATTGTAATCATCCTCGATCAGCAAGAAGAATATACGGCTCTTAGAGAATGTATCACTTTGGGAATTCCAACCATTTCTTTAATCGATACAAATTGTAATCCCGATCTCGCGGATATTTCTATTCCAGCAAATGATGACGCTATAGCTTCAATTCGATTCATTCTTAACAAATTAGTATTCGCAATTTGTGAGGGTCGTTCTAGCTATATACAAAATTCTTGATTAATAATAAGATAAATAAATCAATTTTTTTTGAGGGAGGGGCTCCCTGTATTTCGATTTAAAAAATCGGTTACTACTCCTGAATTGTACAAAAGAAAAAGAGAGAAAAAACTGGGGATATTGTGTGATTTGTTTAGTTGGGATCCAAAACTAAAATATAAAATTGAAGTCAATAAGTAAAAAAAAAAGGGGGGGTCTTGAATCAAAATAATTTAAAGTTCTTATTTCTGTCAGAGGGCAATATGAATGTTTTATCATGTTCCATCAACACACTAATAAAAGAAGGGTTATATGAGATATCTGGTGTAGAAGTAGGCCAACATTTCTATTGGCAAATAGGGGGTTTCCAGGTCCATGCCCAAGTTCTTATTACTTCTTGGGTTGTAATTGCTATCTTATTAGGTTCCGCAGTTCTAACGATTCGCAATCCACAAACCATTCCAACTGACGGCCAAAATTTCTTTGAATTTGTCCTTGAATTCATTCGAGACGTGAGTAAAACCCAGATTGGAGAAGAATATGGTCCATGGGTTCCCTTTATTGGAACCCTGTTTTTATTTATTTTTGTTTCTAACTGGTCAGGAGCCCTTTTACCGTGGAAAATTATCCAGTTACCTCAAGGGGAGTTAGCAGCACCAACGAATGATATAAATACGACGGTTGCTTTAGCTTTACTCACATCAGTAGCCTATTTTTATGCGGGGCTTAGCAAAAAAGGATTAGGGTATTTTAGTAAATACATTCAACCAACCCCAATTCTTTTACCCATTAACATCTTAGAAGATTTTACAAAACCTCTATCACTTAGTTTTCGACTTTTCGGAAATATATTAGCCGATGAATTAGTCGTTGTTGTTCTTGTTTCTTTAGTACCTTTAGTGGTTCCTATACCTGTTATGTTCCTTGGATTATTTACAAGCGGGATTCAAGCTCTCATTTTTGCCACTTTAGCTGCGGCTTATATAGGTGAGTCTATGGAAGGTCATCATTAACGGTTTTTTTCAAATATTCTTTTTTAGGTTAGCCCAATTAATTATAGAATAGTTGGTTTACGTTATGTAAGAAACACTTGTATATGTGATATTTGATATTGCCTAGGTATATATGAGTTAAAGATCTATATAATCTGAATCTGCTCTACTACTTTTGTGAATTTCTATTTCTATTTAGATAGGGATTCGATTAGAAGTTCTTCCTTTTTATCTGTGAATTGGCTGAAAAAATGATAAAAAAAGAACGAAGAATTCAAAAAATGGTTCATAAAAAATAAATGGCATAAACATAAAAAAGTCGTATATATATATATTATGGATATGGATTTTTAAAAATCCCGTGGATAGGAACTACTATCAAAGTAATTCTTATGATTCAATAATTTTATTATATTATTTCAATTAAAGTTTTTGGTTTTTTTGGCTGGATGAATCTTAGCGATTACTTAATTATAATTCCGTCCTAAGTCATTGAATGATTGTATCATTAACTATTTCTTTATTTTGGTGTGAGGAACTTATCATGAATCCACTGGTTTCTGCTGCTTCGGTTATTGCTGCTGGGTTGGCTGTTGGGCTTGCTTCTATTGGACCTGGAGTTGGTCAAGGTACAGCTGCGGGTCAAGCTGTCGAAGGTATCGCGAGACAACCTGAGGCAGAAGGAAAAATACGAGGTACTTTATTGCTTAGTTTGGCTTTTATGGAAGCTTTAACAATTTATGGCTTGGTTGTAGCATTAGCGCTTTTATTTGCGAATCCTTTTGTTTAATCCCAGAAATCACAAAATTCTGGATTTTTTTTTTTTTTAGTTTTTTTAATTCTATCAAGATTTAACTCCTACAATTATTCATTAAGACAACAATCCTTGGGAAGGACTAATTTGAGGATGGGGAATTAGCACATCGATTCGCTTTCTTCCTTCCCCTTATTCTTTTAGTTTAATAGAAACTTTTTTTTAAGGAGTGTTGCGAAAAAAGGAGGTTTAGGTTTTTTGAACTTGACATAAAACTTAGTCTCAAATTCTAGCTTAATTCTAATAAGTCTCATTATTATTATTGAAAATTAAAAATTTTGGAAAATACGTTTGTAAATAGAATAGGTTTTTTATTCTGTTTACAAATATCCAAATAGGTAAATTAAATTATTAAATTCAAATTTCTTTTTATTTTCAATAAAAAGAATAAAAAAAAAAGGACAGAGTTCTTTTTTTATAGTTTAGCTAGAAGAGGAGATTATATGAAAAATTTAACCGATTCTTTCGTTTACTTGGGCCACTGGCCATCCGCCGGGAGTTTCGGATTTAATACCGATATTTTAGCAACAAATCCAATAAATCTAAGTGTAGTTTTCGGTGTATTGATCTTTTTTGGAAAGGGAGTGTGTGTGAGTTGTTCGTTTCAAGAATAGGCTGGATTCACCCAGTGGCACTATAACTAGGAAAGAGTGCATAATCCCGCGAATTACTTCTGAATAAAAAAATCATATTTTAGAACCATAGCATTTCGTTATTCTTTGGTAAGTCCGCTTTACTTTGATTCTCTATCAACCAAAAATGGGGACAATTAATTAACATGGTTAAAGCTAAACCGTTTGAAGTTCAGATGCAACATGGTACTCTTTCTACTAAATGTAGTCTAATAAAAAATAAAAAAATGAATAAAATTAAAAAAAAGAATTGTTAGACTTTTTTCGATATAAAACACTCATGTCGATAAAAATTTTTGAGTCTTTTTTTATAATGCAGAATTGATAACCTACGTATAAAGTAATAAGAATTCTTTGGATTTCAAGAAAAAAAGAAACAACTTTGCTGACAATTAGTAATTTTTCATTGGTCAGAAGAATCCTCCGAATATTTTTATCTTGGATTGGTGATCTTTTTCGCTTTTTCGATAGAAATATATATTGAAATTGAATATGAATTGAATAAAAAAACTCGGGAGAGGGTAGGCTCATTGCATGAAAAAGATGGGAATGGAAGTCTCATAAATAATTGATAAATGATTGGAATAAGTGAGCATGAGAGCCAAATGAATCGAAAGATTCATGTTTGGTTCGGGAAGGGATCATAGAACTTTTTTTTAATGAATGGAAAGATAATCTACTTTCATTAAATGATTTATTAGATAACCGAAAGCAGAGGATATTAAATACTATTCGAAATTCAGAAGAACTGCGTGAAGGAGCTATTCAACAATTAGAAAATGCCCGGGCTCGCTTGCGTAAAGTAGAAATGGAAGCGGATCAGTTTCGCGTGAATGGATACTCTGAAATCGAACGAGAAAAATTAAATTTGATTAATTCAATTTATAAGACTTTGAAACAATTAGAAAATTACAAAAATGAAACCATTCTTTTTGAGCAACAAAGAACAATTAATCAAGTCCGCGAACGGGTTTTCCAACAAGCTTTACAAGGAGCTATAGGAACCCTAAATAGTTGTTTGAGTAACGAGTTACATTTACGTACTATTAATGCAAATATTGGGATGTTTGGTACGATGAAAGAAATAACTGATTAATCCTTTCCTTACGATTATGATAGGCATTATTTTTTTTCTTCCAAAAAAGAATCAGGACAATACTCATGGTAACCATTAGAGCCGACGAAATTAGTAATATTATCCGTGAACGTATTGAGCAATATAATAGAGAAGTAACGATTGTAAATACCGGTACCGTACTTCAAGTGGGCGATGGCATCGCTCGTATTTATGGTCTTGATGAAGTAATGGCAGGTGAATTAGTAGAATTTGAGGAGGGTACTATAGGTATTGCCCTTAATTTAGAATCAAATAATGTTGGTGTTGTATTAATGGGTGACGGTTTGATGATCCAAGAAGGAAGTTCAGTCAAAGCTACGGGAAAAATTGCTCAGATACCGGTGAGTGAGGCTTATTTGGGGCGTGTTATAAACGCCTTGGCTAACCCTATTGATGGTCGAGGTAAGATTTCCGCTTCTGAATCTCGGTTAATTGAATCTCCTGCCCCAGGTATTATTTCAAGACGTTCTGTATATGAGCCTCTTCAAACAGGACTTATTGCTATTGATTCCATGATCCCTATAGGACGCGGACAGCGAGAATTAATTATTGGTGACAGACAGACCGGTAAAACAGCAGTAGCCACAGATACAATTCTCAATCAACAAGGTCAAAATGTAATATGTGTTTATGTAGCTATTGGTCAAAAAGCTTCTTCCGTGGCTCAGGTAGTGACCAGTTTACAGGAACGAGGGGCAATGGAATACACTATTGTGGTAGCTGAAACGGCCGATTCCCCAGCTACGTTACAATACCTCGCGCCTTATACAGGAGCAGCCTTGGCTGAATATTTTATGTACCGTGAACAACACACTTTAATCATTTATGATGATCTTTCCAAACAAGCACAAGCTTATCGACAAATGTCTCTTCTATTACGAAGACCGCCGGGTCGTGAAGCTTATCCAGGAGATGTTTTTTATTTACATTCACGTCTTTTAGAAAGAGCCGCTAAATTAAGCTCTCAATTAGGTGAAGGAAGTATGACTGCCTTACCAATCGTCGAGACCCAGTCAGGAGATGTTTCAGCTTATATTCCTACTAATGTAATTTCCATTACAGATGGACAAATATTCTTATCCGCCGATCTTTTTAATGCTGGAATCAGACCTGCTATTAATGTAGGGATTTCTGTCTCGAGAGTAGGATCCGCCGCTCAAATTAAAGCTATGAAACAGGTAGCTGGAAAATTAAAATTGGAATTGGCTCAATTCGCTGAATTAGAAGCCTTTGCCCAATTTTCTTCTGATCTCGATAAAGCTACTCAGAATCAATTGGCAAGAGGTCAACGATTGCGTGAGTTACTGAAACAATCCCAATCAGCCCCTCTCACAGTGGAAGAACAGATAATGACCATTTATACTGGAACAAATGGTTATCTGGATGGATTAGAAATTGGACAAGTAAGAAAATTTCTCGTTCAGTTACGCACTTACTTAAAAACGAATAAACCTCAGTTTGAAGAAATCATAGCCTCTACCAAGACATTAACCGCTGAAGCAGAAAGCTTTTTGAAAGAAGGTATTCAAGAGCAACTAGAACGTTTTCTACTTCAGGAGAAAGTATAAAAAAAGAAATGAAACGGATCGTTCTTATTTTTGATTCTTTAGTCAATTTGACTCTTTAATTTTAATTAAATTTTTAAGAAATTCTATAAATAGAAGTCTATAAGTTACGTATATATAATAGAAAGAAGTATATAACTAATATCTGTTTAATATTAAATCTTAAAGCATTCAGAATTTCTTTCTTAGTCTATTTATTTCTTATCTTTTTTCGAAATAGATATTATATAAATATATAGAAATGGAAATAATAGATAAATATCAATATAGATATATTGATATTGCGTCCAATAGGATTTGAACCTATACCAAAGGTTTAGAAGACCTATGTCCTATCCATTAGACAATGGACGCTTTTCGCTTTTTTTTACTTTCCAATTGTTAAAAAAAAAGAATGTGCGAAATCTTTTTAGCAATTGTGTATTGAAGTGAATTCAATACACAATTGCTATTAGACAATTCTAATATAGAAAATTGTCTCTAATAAAAAAAAGGGGCAATTGTGAATTTAGAGCGGGTAGCGGGAATCGAACCCGCATCGTTAGCTTGGAAGGCTAGGGGTTTTAGTCGACGTCGATCGATCATTTTTATATTTTTAACGTCTCTAATTCAAAACCGAACATGAAACTTTGGTTTCATTCGGCTCCTTTATGATGGATGGAGAAATTCCCAAATAAAAAAAGACGGGAACGAAATAAAAATTGATCCATAACATCTATGTTAGCTTTTTTTCCGTCTGGGTACTTTCACAGAAATTTTTGCTTTCTAGATGATCCTTCTAGAAGATAGATCAGGCGAACTCGAACAATCTTTCTAGTTACTTCGTTCTTTATTTCTATTTAACGGAATCCTTAGGAAAAGTATTTGGTTTCTACCGAGCTAAAACAATATAATATGTCGATGTCTTTAGTAAACCAAAGTTCTCGTTTAATAGCTATTTTGCTTCAATTTTTCTATACCAAACAATGAATAGAACTGAAGATTGAGTTACGATTAGAAAGACACTTTTCTAGCTTTATCCATGGATCCTCTTGTTATACTTATTGAATTGTCAATAGTCATCCAATTCAAAAATTATGTTTCGGAATTTCATAATCCAAATTTACAATTGATTAGAGTCTTTGGATACAAATTACGAGAATCTATAATCTTCCTTGAATCTTTCATTGAAAGGGAAAGGACTAAATCCTTTTAAGAAATAAAATTTTTGATCGGAAGATGAATCAAACCGAGAGACCCTTTAACTATTAAAGGGATTAAAGGAACGAATCACACTTTTACCACTAAACTATACCCGCTACAATGCAATTATTGCATATAAATTAACCTTTTGTCGAACAAAGTAATCGGGGGTGTAATAAAAAAATCTGAAAAAATTTAGAAAACTCTAGCGTGGACTTAATAAAATTAGTAAAAGCGAATTCAATTCCACTTTTTTTTAATTTCAAATCTTTTTTTGTCTAAAAATCCATCGGATGAGTCTTTTTAATTTTAACAAAAAAAGGCCCGGCTGGGGACTGACCAGGCCAGGCTATTAAAATAAAAAAGATCTTTTACTTGTGTTTTGACGAGACAAAATAAAAAAAGGATTCTCTATTTCTATGATTATGGTTTTATTTATTTCTCTTTCGAGTTTGCGCCTTTTCTTTATCTAATCTTTAGATAAATTTTTAATGTAACTAGAATTACTGAGAAAGTTCTATAAAAACAGTTATTATATATATAGTAATATATATATATATTATATATATAAATAGAGGATAAATATATTTATATAATAAAAAAGAAATTATATATATATAATAAAATATAGAAAATGAAAAAATATATATATAATAAAGAATATCTAAAAAAAAAAAAGAAAGCTTTTTAAGAATAAAGCGGAGAAGGTTCTTTTTTAAGCCTTTTTTTTTTTTTTTAATGGAACCTAATTAAGTATCCCTTTTCGATTAGGAGAGATGGCTGAGTGGACTAAAGCGTTGGATTGCTAATCCATTGTACGAGTTAATCGTACCGAGGGTTCGAATCCCTCTCTTTCCCCTTCTCCTTTTGATGGTGTGTAATAGATAAAATCCTAATAAAATTCGAGCATTTCCACTAATTAAATAAAGCAATAAAAAACCTTTCTTTTTTATTCTTCACGTCCCGGATTACGTCCTGGATCATTAGATAGGAATCCAAATATGAAGAGAGAAACAAAGAATATAACTACAGTGTATACAAAAAGTTTGAGAGTAAGCATTACACAATCTCCAAGATCTTACTAAAAAAAAAAAAAAGAGAATAGATTCTCTATTTTTATATCAAATATCTAATTTTGATACCAATAAATAAAAAAAAAGGTTTCAGAAAGTTATTTGTAATTAAGATAATAGTCGAATCTTTCATATTCAAACAGATTTGCATACCAACATCTAGATATTTTTTTGGTGAACTCGAATCTAATTAGGTTCTTTCATTTAGGGAAAAGAGGATAAAATTTAGGAAATATAAATGATCCAGATTTAGTATGGCTACCAAAAAAATGCAATGTTTGAATAGAGAGTTCGTTCATACGTCAAGATTTTTTTTTATCTTTTGAATTGTTGGAAGAATAAAAATCGTGAATTTTTTTAAGACAGTATTAAGAATTTTATCGAAAACTTACAGCGGCTTGCCAAACAAAGGCTAAGAGAAGAAAGAAAAGAGGTATTACGGGCATAACATCTATGATTGGATTCAAAAAGGCGTAGGCCTCTGGCAATTTGGCGACTAAAAAAGTGCTTGAAAAAAGGGCGTAATTAAAACAAATACAGATCAAATTAAATATATTAAGCATAAAAAAAATTGGTGTTCTTGTGGATAATTTAATTTTGATTGAGTTATTAATATATTTTTTATATAAGGAAAAAATAAAGAAAGATAGTCTAAAAAGACTTTGTTGAACTTACTCAATCAAAAATCCTTTCATTCTCTTATGAGAATGAAAGAAATAATATTTTCATACAATATCTTAATTGAATTCTATGTAATGATCAATAAAGTAAGTTTTATTTGCTATCTACACGTGTTAAAACTCTAGCACCAATGTAATCTATATTTAATTTTGAATTGACGAACAACCAATAGGAATATTACTCTTTTAGTAGTCTTGAATAAAAAGCGAAATGGGGCGTAGCCAAGCGGTAAGGCAACGGGTTTTGGTCCCGCTATTCGGAGGTTCGAATCCTTCCGTCCCAGAGTACAGTCATTACAGAATCAATCTTCTATTGCCTTTGTACACCATCTTTCTGTTTAAAAATCCAAAATTTTTAAGAATAAAATATTGAAATGAAAAGAAGAATAAACTTAATTTTTCATTATTTCAACCGAATTCAAAAAAATCTATTTGCTTTTTTAATTTGTGTGTGATGCGGGTAAGTAAGGTAGAACCATAGATTCTAAGAGTTTTAATAAAAAAAATCTCTATTTATATATATAAATTATATAAATAGAGATTTCTATTCAAACTAATATGGGATTCATTTTAATTCTGACTGAACCTTTACGCGTAAATTCACTATTCCATTCATAGAGAAAGAAAAGGTATAGATTATGATATACTGACTGAACTATGACTATTCATGATTCCATAATTGAATCAATTACACAAACTAGAGGAATGTTATGGTAAAACTTCGTTTAAAACGATGTGGTAGAAAGCAACGTGCGACTTGAATTGAAGGACATTATCTGCTGTGGATTTTTTCATCCGCCACTTTTTATATAGGAATATAGGTGCTCTTGGCTCGACATTTTGTGTTCTATTTTACAAGAGTCCTACACTTTTTGGGAATATAAAAAAGAGTACAGGATGGAGCTCGAGGAGAATAGAAAGTTTTTATTCCTTTCGCAGGAGTAAGGATCTAGGGTTAGTGCGAATCAATAAGTTGGAACAACTTCGTAAGTCTTTTTATATTGAAAAAAAAGTCCTTTCAAGCAATTTTACAATGGAAAAGGAAATTTTCTTAAAATTATAAAATTCTTTGAATAAAAAGTCTATCATGCGTGAATCAAGCGTTTGTATGATTCTTTGTATAGAAGAAATCATAAACAAAATAAGGGGCTTGTTGCTGCCCTTTTTTAATAAAACGATTCAAGATCACCGAAGTCATGTCTAAACCTAAAGATTCAAAGTAAGGATAAAGAATCCTGAAACAAGGAAATCCTGTTTTCAATTGTTTGAAAAACTAGATCAGAATGAAGAATAAAAATTGATTCTAAAAGCTGAGACAAACAAAAAAAGGGCTAGAGACTACTCAATAAAAAAAGTACTTAAGGATTCTCCGGTGAGATATTTGAGAGTTGTTTAACTTGAGTTACGAGAGTACGAATGTTATGAATGCTTTTTATGGAAAAAATATTTAGGGTTTCAATACTGGCTAATTTATTTAATGTTTTTATTTCTCTATTTAATATTTATTTGAATTTACTATTTTAATTTTATACAGAGAGTTAAAGTGAACTTCTACCCATTGAATTTGTTTTTCTCGAGCCGTACGAGGCCAAAACCTCTTATACGTTTCTAGGGGGGGGTATTATTCATATACATCTATCCCAATGAGCCGTTTATCGAATCGTTGCAATTGATGTTCGATCCCGAAGAGAAGGAAGAGATCTTAGCAAGGTGGGTTTTTATGATCCGATAACAAATCAAACTTTTTTAAATCTTCCTGCTATTCTCGATTTTCTTAAAAAAGGAGCTCAACCAACAAGAACAGTTCATGATATTTCAAAGAAGGCTGGGATTTTTACGGAATTTAAGTCTTAATAAAACGAAATTGAATTAATGAAATATAAAAAAGAGGATGTGAAAGACTCGTATATAGCTTGATATCAAATTTTATCTACTCTTCTCTTTCCTCCTCTTTCACTTCCATCATATTTATTTTGATTTGTTAGAATTTCTATTTATTACTTAGTATTCCTCCTAAGGTACGAATACTAAAAAATACCCTACTATGTTTTATAATCATAAACAAATTTATGAAAAAAAAATTGGGATCTAGATTATATAAATTCGAATTTTTTTATAAATACAAAATTTTACTGTTATATAGAAAATAATACTGTATATAAAATAATATATTATTAATTCTGAATAAAACAAATATATATATATTATATTATTATATGAATAATTTATTCATCATAAAAAATTAAAGGCCATAAAAAATGGGTCTAAAAAGTATAAAAAGATTTGAGATTACCTTAACTGGCTTAGTTTTCATTCATTGTATGAACTAATGAACCAAGGGGTTAAGCTTTTTTATTTATTTATTTTTTCTATTCTTTTCACTATATGAAAAATTCATAATCATATTGACAACAGTGTATGGACCAAATATAATTCTCTCATAGATAAATGGATCTATTTATCCCTGACACACGACTGGATTTTTTTCTTTATTCTGGTTGTATCTACATATTTGCAGTACGTTCTTTTTTTGTTTTTTGGGGTTGCTAACTCAACGGTAGAGTACTCGGCTTTTAAGTGCGACTAGCATCTTTTACACATTTGTATGAAGAAAAGGATTCGTCCAGATCCGCGGTAGAGTTTGTAAGACCACGACTGATCCTGAAAGGAATGAATGGAAAAAATAGCATGTCGTATCAAGGGAGAATTCAGATAACATTTTTTTTTGCTTTCCTGATCGGTACAACCTTATTTTGATATCGAAAAAAAAAGAATTCCAATTTGGGTCAAGTGAATAAATATAAATGGATGGATAAAAAACCCAGTTTTCCTGATTCCAGGAAAAAAAAAAGAAACGAGCTTCCATTCGTAATTTGAAAAATTACCCGAACTAATTAAATGTTAAAAATAGATTAGTGCCTAATACGGGTATGGGAAGGCATTTTTTTCTTGCGTGTTATTATCAATTTTTTCATGAGTCCTAATTATTTTTTTAACTAGTCCATTTGGATTAGGTTGGAGTGTGTAAAAGAAGCAGTATATTGATAAAAAATATATATATTTCCAAAATCAAAAGAGCGATTAGGTTAAAAAATAAAGGATTTCTAATCATCTTGTTTTGTTATTCTATAATATAACGAACAGAAACCTATTAAAGATAGAGAATCCGGTTAACAGTCTACCTGTTTATGAGGTATCTATAGCTTTCGTAGTCTAATACCTTATTTTGACTGTATCGCACTATGTGTCATTTCAGAACTCAAGAAAATAAAGACTTTACCTTCAGTTCAAATCGAATTTCAATCCAAATGGAGAAATTTCAAGGATATTTAGAGTTCGATGGGGCTCGGCAACAGAGTTTTCTATATCCACTTTTTTTTCGGGAGTATATTTATGTACTTGCTTATGATCATGGTTTAAATAGATTAAATAGAAATCGCTCTATTTTCTTGGAAAATACGGATTATGACAAAAAATATAGTTCACTAATTGTGAAACGCTTAATTTTGCGAATGTATGAACAGAATCGTTTGATTATTCCCACTAAGGATTTGAACCAAAACTCCTTTTTGGGGCATACCAGTCTTTTCTATTATCAAATGATATCTGTTTTATTTGCAGTGATTGTCGAAATTCCATTTTCCCTAAGATTAGGATCCTCTTTTCAAGGAAAACAATTCAAAAAATCTTATAATTTACAATCAATTCATTCAATATTTCCCTTTTTAGAAGACAAATTAGCACATTTTAATTATGTGTTAGATGTACTAATACCTTACCCCATCCATCTAGAAATCTTGGTTCAAATCCTACGTTACTGGGTAAAAGATACCTCTTCTTTGCATTTTTTTCGGTTCTGTTTATACGAGTATTGCAATTGTAAGAATTTTTATATTAAAAAAAAATCAATTTTGAATCCAAGATTTTTCTTGTTCTTATATAATTCTCATGTATGTGAATACGAATCCATCTTTTTTTTTCTACGCAAGCGGTCTTCGCATTTACGATCGCCATCTTATGAAGTCCTTTTTGAGCGAATTTTTTTCTATGGAAAAATAGAATATTTTTTCAAAGTTTTTGTTAATAATTTTCCGGCGATCCTAGGGTTGCTCAAGGATCCTTTCATACATTATGTTAGATATCACGGAAGATGCATTCTGGCAACAAAGGATACGCCGCTTCTGATGAATAAATGGAAATATTTTTTTGTTAATTTATGGCAATGTTATTTTTCCGTATGGTTTCAATCGCAAAAGGTCAATATAAATCAATTATCTAAAGATAATTTAGAGTTTCTGGGTTATCTGTCAAGTTTGCGATTAAACCCTTTAGTGGTACGTAGTCAAAT